ATAACACTACAACAATCCCAATGATACCTCAAACTTCTGTCCAGCCTTGCACGTAAGGAATGTCATAGGCTTGCCATAAGCAGAATTTTCCAAAAGGGTTTTCTTAAATGGTTTTTAACCTGATAATTTTGTAGCTTTCAGACAGTGATGATGACGATGGTCCTTTTGTGGGAGCCACAGATGAAGGTGCAGAATTTCCCATACAGAATGGAAGAGATGAGAAGAGAGTAGGCTTTGATGGGGAACACACTCTTATTGCAGAACCACAGAAGGTAAACAGTGCACTTCAATTCGATGTTTTTTATTTTGTTGTGAATTGTATACCTGCTTTAAGCACCTTGTGGGAGTTAAACATGCCTGCTCTGCACATCTTCACATTCTGTAAGAACAATTATGTCAGAGGTGCAGATTCACAGCCCAAAATGTGAATTGTGGGGGTGAAGTCTATGCTGTAGAGCAGTGGTTCTCAACCTGTGTAACCTCGGGACCCACATGTTTCCTTGGTCATTAAGGTGTGACCCATTTCCCAGTTAAAAATATTTAAGAACCCTCAATGTGTAAGGCAAATGAATTGCAGCGACCACAGCATGGCCAAGAAAATGGCATTCTTCTGCCCTCACACTTATTCCTGTACAAAAACAGCTTTTTCCGCTCTTCAAGTTTTTTAGTTACTCATCACCTTGACTGTTGTTCTTTGCAGCTGTCCATCGATATTCATTACTGAAGGCTTGTAAGATTGACAATTTGTCAGTGGCAGCAAACAGTATTACTATGTGGGAAAATATGGAGCAACAGAACAAAATGTTTCCTTTCTATGCAGGTGAATAAAATAGAGATAATCTATGCCAAAACAGCCAAAAAGATGGATATGAAGCATCTCAAAACGAGTATGTGGGGCCTCCTGGAAAAAACGCCAGAAAAAGCAGATGAGGTAAGCTGATGTGTCATAGAGACGGTTGAATACATTTAATAAAAACTGTAAAATATAAATAACTGAGTGTCTATGTTTTATACTTTGTTTAACCTCAAAGGGCCATTTAATCCACTTATGATACAGCTACTTTTGCCAAATTTTCTAGTGTAACAGTTTATTCATATAAAATGTTTTTACGCATCCCATTTCTTATATGTGCCATAGAAGATCAATACTACATTTTCTTTTGACCCAAAATGTGGTAATTTTGTAATAACGGAGACAAGACAAACCGGCCACTCCCTAAACGTTTGCGTTGGTCTAGGATGGAACAGCAGTATTTTACTTTTCAGGTATACAGTAGGTCAGAACTGGGCTGTAGGAAAGGGTCTTGCTAATAGCTATTATACATCACTTTCCTGTAAAACATAAGCTGGACCGAAACTCTGGTGATCGGAGATTAAAAAAATTACACTTTACATGTCTTAAAATAAGGAAATCTGAAAGAGCTGGAAGAATCCTTATTTTTACTTCCAGTGCAATTTGGGAAGATGCACAACAGTCTTTCACTTCTACTATAGCTCCACTCCAGCTTTGGCCAGTATCTTTCTCCTGCATGAGATGTAGGTCCACATTTGACACACATGCCACTGTCACATGTTTCTGACGATGAGTAGTTGCTAAAGTTGGGTATACACGTTTTATATATATTTTTACCTAAAACACAGCATATAGCGGGCTATTTCCCTCTATATGATGACAGCGCAGAGCCCCGCTGTAGCCGGGACAGATTTCCACAATATTGTCAGGATACACCCTGCTTACTGATTGACAGCTGGCTCTGCTCGCCCCTCCCCATCCGTCCATCCCTCCAGTCAGCAATGGAGGAATAGAGAGAGGGGAGGGGGGAATCCCTGCGGGGAGCAGTGACTGACGGTTATTGCTCTCTGCAGTGAGAAGATCGGGAACTAGGCGATCGGCGGTATGTGTTTGCTCATTTCCTGATCAATAGAGCCAACGTGTGACAGCTTCAATGTCATACATCGGCTCTAATTATGGGGATGAGTGTATTTCACTCTCGCCATGATTCTCCTTTTAATGGTTTGATCCCTTTTTAGGGAATGCCACTTTACTCATCACTGACTTCTGTCCTTCAGCTTTAACATGAAACTTTTTACTTCATACAAGAGTTGGCTTCTTTCATGAACAAGCTTTGAATAGAAACAGAAGTCATTTAGGATAAAGATGATCCCTGCTTAACAGATGTTAACTGATTTATTTTCATTTAAGCCAAATCATACGTCTGACATAGAAAAACCAGCTATTAAAGAAGAGAGGATTTTCAGCAGTGTCACACGTGAACTGCAGAAAAGGTATAGAACTGTTGTTTGTTTTTTTTTTTCTGTTGTGTATAGTGTTTGCTTGATGCTTTACACTGATGTACTTTGCTTGATCAACAGGTTGCCCACTGTCATGGCACAGAATCTTTCAGTACCACTGGCTTTTGCTTGTCTCTTGCATCTAGCTAATGAGAAGGTTAGTAAACATAGCCAGCCTTGCTTCAGTAGGTATTTTATGTCATTGTAGGCATTTTATGTTGCCCATAATGTTTTTTAATGCTCAAACAGTCTTCCTTTGACCTCTGACTGTGTCAACTGCCACCAATGACTGTTCTCTCTTTAGACACGCAGGTGCAGGAATACCCATATCACAGAACAAAACTGCAAAAGCCCCCTCAGTTTATGACTAGCAGAAATGGGGAGCTAATTATAGGATGACACTTTGATACGAAGTGCACTTCCCTTTTTGCCCCCTGATCTAACCTAACCAACCTTCCCCATATGCATACTGACCTTGATCCAACGGCTGCAGTTTTGCTATTTGTTTCCATCCATCTCTGCAAGTCTTCACTGTCCTGGCTGCACCATAGAGGTCTACCGGGCACTAATGCATAGGTGTGACCTGGACAGAGTAGACCTGCACTGCTGGATGCAAACAGAGTGGAACGATGTCTATTATGTTGAAATTAAAGGTGGCCAAACACTGCGAATTTCGGACAGTTCTTGAGGAACCCGATGAAGTTCGCACAGTGAGTGCCGGCCAGCAATTCCTTTGTATGAACAGAACCGGCAGGCAATACGCTTTGGCAGCCGCTGTCAGAATACAAAAGAAACAGCGGGGATTCCTCAATCAAGGTGCTTGTAGAGTTGATGGAGGAATCTGCTCCTATATTTTATTTAGCCCAAGGTGTATAGCCAGTTTAAGTATTCATATGCAGAGGGGAGGGTGGGTTAAGCCAGAGGAAGGGGGCAAAAAGGATTAATATAGAATTTGGTGACCGTATAATTATAGCCATAAATGTATCTTCCTTATTTTCTTCTGGAGGCTAACTTCTCTCCAGTCTGGGGCTTATGTCTTCCTACCCTCTTGAGGGTGTCACCCATGCACCCTATCCCTTCAGTCATATTGACATTGTTGGATCAAATTCTTGTTGCGTGTAATATATGTGTGTGTGTGTAAAATATATATATATATCACACACACTGAAATTTATGTACCCTCCCTGTTGCAACTCAATTCAAAGTAAAAAAGGGAGAGTCGGGGGGGTGTGTTTTCATGTGAAACAAAGTTAATTCATCCAATATATTATGTTCTTCATTGCCTTTTCTTTTCTTCTATAGAATTTAAAACTACAGGAAGTCGAAGATCTCTCCGATGTATTAATAATGCAAGGAGACTGATGAGAACGCAGGACTGTGCAGTCACACAAACACAAATAAAAGTGAGAAATGAAATTTTATTCTTCTGTCAGTGTTCGCACTACAGCAGAATATGGATTTGTAAATAATGTATTTATGTGACATTTTACATTTTTTATTGTTCCCACCCATATATGTATCTAATAGAAAAAAAAATAAAAATATTGTCAGTCAAAATACAGTGTTTCCAATTTATGATGGCCAAGCAGGTATTTGCCTTAAGGGTAATGTATGAGTGTTTTTTTAATGATGTCCCTCTTCACCCATGGCTGTCAAGAAGGCGAGAACCAAGAAAAGCGTTTGTCATGATCCTTGTGCAGCTGCTTTCCGGTGTCCGAGATCTGGTGCTGTCTAAAGGCTAGCTCGCTTTCCAGCTTCTAAAAGGATTACATACATATAATGAATAGCATTGACATGGTTAGAGGGTCTTACGAATCTCCACTGACAAGGTTTGCTTCACATCAAGGTGGTTATAATAAACAAAGATTCAACAGTTTCTTTAAAAATCAGGAAAAAAAACATGCCTTCCATGGTGACCAATGTACATTAATAATAATACTTTTCATCAGTGACCACACCTCCAGAATAAGCCCTTATTCACACGGAGCATTTTGTAGTGCTTTTTCTGCTCAAAAGACCCTTAAAATAAAATAAAAAAAGCCCCCGTTCATTTCTATGGCCATGTTCACATCTGAGCGTCATGTCACTTGTAGCAAAACACCCGTTGCTTGAAGAAAGTACATGAGCTTCTCTTTGGCCCCATAGACTTCAATGGAAACACTGAAAAACAAGCGTTTCCTGTGTTTTTGCATATTTTTACATGCGAGTCCATTCACATCAATGTGCCACAATCTACTCATTAAAACAAAACATGCAACAGTGCGCAAAAGACATGCTTCCACTATACGCGCTGAAAAAGGGCATTATTTCATGACGCTCGGGTGCAAATGCAGGATAATGCAATTGAGCAGATCTTACCTCAACCCTACTAAACATATATGGGATAAACTGATGGCCAGGTCATCAGTACCTGACCTCACAAATGCTCTTTTCGCTGAATGGGCACAAATTTCCACAGACGCACTCCCAAAATCATGTAAAAAGCCTTCACAGAAGAGTGGAGGCTTCTTAGGAAACAAAGGTTGGGGGGTGGAGGGGCAATTCTATATTATTGCCCATGGTTTTGAAATGCTGTAGGATGTCCAACAAGTCCATATGGGTGTCTGATCAACAGGTGGCACATATAGTCTATAAGTAGATCAGTAAATCTGGCTATATGCTGTTTTTGGGTCAGGGACTCAAAGTGCAAAATCCACAGACAGGCAGCCAGCATTTTCAGGAGGATAGCAATGGGAACCTATATAATTCTGTGTTGACTAGTTTAAAACAATAGCGCTTATGCAGTAGCAGGTGATGCATTTATAATGCACTGTATTGCAAAGAAGAACCATGTACACTTTTGCCTGTGCTGGGGTGTGTTGGAATGGTCTGGTTTAACACAACACATGGCTCAACACACGTTTTAGTCGACTGAACGCAAACATTTGAATCCAGCCCTAAGGAAAGCTAATATAAGAAGAATTGTTAAAGACCGCACCACTTTTCCTTCCCTCCATTTCACATAAATAGTTCCTGGATTTACAAAAGTCTAGAGATACCTCTTTACTAAGCTGCAGGCGTTCCTTCCACTGCTCAGCCTCCATGCTGTGTTCTGCCTCCAGTCGCTGTAGTTTCTTTGTTTCCTGTTCTTGCAACGTTCTTACTTTTTCTTCCTGTGTTTGTAACAATTATTCATTAAAAAAGTCAACAAATAAGAGTATAGTTATCCCAACCCTAAAACAATTGCACTAGTTTTACATTTATTGTATATTAAATTGGTTTGTGAATTTTACAAAAGTCTGACTCTGAGTGAACTCTGCAAATGATTCACATTCTTTCTGTGCAATGTTACTGGATTGCTTATATTGTGCAATGTTAATGGATTACTCATAATCATGTCTGCAAGACAATAAGGACCATGTATAGCTGTTAACGAAGTGCCCTCTTCTGTAGACTGGTCATGCTGTGCAGCTTCTCTGTTCTTAGTAATGTCTTCTCTGTCAGAAATCTGCTTTACAACACATTCTAACTTCCATTTCCTCTAAGAAATAAGCTCCCACATCCAAGATTTGTAAAATCATAATCTGGCAACAAGTGTTTGGAGACAGGACATTCATAGGCTAGTAGTAGTCACAATCAGTTTTATTTTATGTTTCAACTCTATAGAACAAGTCCCATTGATCTGGTTAACAAGGTTTTTGCACATATACCTACCGTCTTTCCCCGAAAATAAGACTCTTTATTTTTTTTCTGCCCCAAAAAAACACACTTAGGTATTATTTTCAGGGGATGTCTTATTTTTTTACGGTAATACGGTTAGGTAACCGAAGTCTATGGCTTAGTGCAGGTAACCTGCAGGTGCACAGTGCTGCATCTGGGAATCAGTGTAAAAGCAGCCCAATACGGTAATCACTTTTGTCAGAGTGTCAGAATGTCCACTGTCTTTTATTTACTGACCTTAATGAGAATAATACTGTTGCTCTCGTTATTTTCCTGCTGGTCAGTATCGGTAAAGCAGATTCCATTCTTTCACAGGCGGAGTGCATCTGGTATCGCTCCGCCTGTCACAGTAACCGGCGCTATAGACGAAGTAGCGGCTAATGCGGCTCTGCTCCCTCCGCTGCCGCAGCCATGCTTTCTACAGCTTCCTTTGCCATCAGGGAAAGCGGCACCAGCGGTGCAGCAGTGGGGACATCAGACCAGACCAAACTAGGTCTTCTTTCCGGGGTAGGTCTTATATTACAGGAATCTTGAAAAATAGTGCTAGCTTACTTTTGGGGTAGGTCTTATTTTCGGGGGAAACACGTTAATAAATGGAAAAACCTTCATCTCACATCAGTTGGCTAGCTTGGCAGCACCACATACTTACAAACTGGATGCTATTAAAATATACCAAGGAACCATTCTTGTAAAACTAACTTTAGGAAAGCTTGGAGACAAGGTAAGAATGTGCAGATCTTACGTGTATTTGGGTCAGTTCCTTAAAGGTTTCTTCCAGATGTTCCTTGAACTTCTGCAGTTCCTGTTCTTGCCTCTGCTGCTGCTTCTGAGTCTCCTCTTTCTGACGGGCAGTCTCCTGCTGCTGAAACTAGAAGTTCAAATATGTCAAATATATATTCTAGGACACACAGAAGTGTGGCTTCAACCTTAAAAGATAATCGAGCGCACTTTCTCATCCTTTTGAGGGACACAGGAAGTCTTAAACCTTTGAGATGCTAGGCCAGCTACAGGAGGATTAGACACTGGCAAACAAAAAACTGTAGACCAGCCCAGGATACACCCCTCCCCCCTACTACAAGAATGCCTTAGATTTTTTGCAAGTATCCTAAGAGGATGGACGTCTTCAGCTCTGTTTCTCAGATTTACAAGGCTGCCACCTGGTCTTCTGTTCACAGGTTTGCTACGTTCTACCAGGTGTATGTCCAGGCCTCATTCGATCCCTTTAGGAGTTTGCTCCTTAAAGGTGGCCGTACACCTTACAAACATTGCACGACTTTCGTTGTGCGATGGTTGTAAGGTGATTAAAAGTTACGTACGACCTGCCCATCTTGGACAGGCAGATCGTACTTGCGATCATCGCTTAGGGGAGGGCTTGCAGATGATTGCAATGGTGAGAGGGCAGTGTGCGCCTCGGGTCATGCGGCTTTCATCTTGCGATCGCGCTATCGAAAATTGTACGATTTGCCTCTCCATAATGGGCAGGTCATACGAAAGTTTACGGTCACACGCTGCCCATCAACCTTGCGATTATCGTACGATAATCATCAGGTATATGGGCACCTTTAGACAGCTCTTTGAGCTTGCAGAAAGTTCCCAATTTTGTTGTTTCTTTTCTTGGGTCTGTTAGCATTGTTGCTGTGTTGCCCACCCCTCAGTTGGACTGCTTTTGGATGCCCCGAAGGTTTAAGACTTTGTGTCCCTCAATGGGTGCGAAAGAAAATATAATGTTTGTAAAATTATTTTCTTGGAGTCTTATGAGGGACACATGTCCAACCCTCTGTGTATATGATCATGCTCTTGGTACTGCATTGCTACAAAACTGAAGCATTCTGGTTGTGGGAGGGCTTATCTTTGGCTGGCCTGCAGCTTTTTATTTGTTTTTCCTGTGTCCAATCCTCCTGTAGGTCGAAGTAAATCTTGAAGGTTTAAGGGTGCCCATAGGAACCAGTCGAAATTCGCACTGTATGTACCGCTGTCAGCACCCTTTTGGTCGGCATCCCTCGGTCAGCTGATCGAAGGAGCTGGCTGGAATACTTTGTACGACCAGAGCTGGCAGCCAATGAGCCGGTGGCTGCTGTCAGAATTCAATGCAAGCAGCGGGATTCCTCGATCGACTCGTAGTGTTGACGGAGGAATCTGCTCTATTTTATTTGTTCAGCCTGCAGGTTGAAGGAAAAAACAATAGAGCAGTGCATGACCAGCCTAAGACTTCATGTGTCGCTCAGTAGACTTCAAGAAAAGGATTTTACAGTGGGTACAAAAAATCCTATTTTATCTGTGCTATTAGAAGATAAAAGTTGAATATAAATAACAAATAACATATTCCACTGTTGTGGCACAAACTATAGGAAGAGGAGAGTTATTCACACACAGTATTCTGTCCATTCTCCTATGGGAGTGTTTTATATACACCAGCTGGTCAAGTTTCACAATTGCAGAATTAAAAGGAGAACTATGAGATGAGTGCTTTTCACTCGCCTCATATTTCTAGCCAACCTGTGACAATGAGACTGTCACAGGTCGGCTCAGTAGATCGGGAGGTGAGCGAACACATGCCGGTGTTCGCTCACCTCTCGATCCTGTCACGGCTCTCTGCCGTGACAGGGGAGGGGCTGGATTCCCCCCCTCCCCGCTCTGATCTGCCAGCGCTGACTGGCGGAACGGACGGGGGAGGGTACAGCTGGCTCTGCCTCTAGATAGGCTGTCAGTCACGCAGCTGGGCGGATCCCGGCACAATTGTCGGGATCCGCTTCAGCTGCGGGGTCTCAGTATACTGCGGCGTCTCAGTATATCGCGAGCTACTGCTCGCGGTATCCGGGAGGACGCTAGTTTGCGTCCTCCCGTTACCCTAAGGAGAACTATGGGGAAAAGCCTTAACCCCGTAGTTCTCCTTTAAGCGCTCTGTAATATTCATAGTTGAAAGAGTGGCTTTGCACACTACATATACCACCTACCTTCAAGTAAGAAATTGCTAGATCTTTCTGCTCCAGCTACTAATGCTGCACTTAAGTAAATCTATGGCACTCCTGGGTAATACTGAGCACATATAATAGATAGGCAGAATACAGCAGAGGTTGAGATTTGCATATAAAGCAAGTTGATTAAATATCTGGATCACTTTGACGAGTGCTTTTTATACGTCCTATGGGCATCTTCAATAAGTATGTTTACAAACTTCTAAAATCGACATTGATATTAGGCGCAGGGTAGAATGTATGGAAATTCAATATAGAAATACAGATTTATTTTTATTTTTTGCCCATTGATTCCCTTTAATTGCATTTTTTTGCTTTCATATGTTCAGATTGAGTTGCCCAGTTTTGTTACCTGTTTAATTTTCTGCACAATCTGATTTCCCTGTCCCACTGGGTTTCTAATACAGATCTTTATTTCACTGGCACCCACATTTAGAGAGATCCAACAGTTGCTGAGGAACTGCTTATTCAAAAGGGCCTAACAGAATGCTAACTAACGTATGGTCATGACATCCGATTTGAACACTATGCACCTTCTATTGCCTTGGTTCTCAACTGGTGGGTCATGACCCCGTGTTCAGTGGGTCGCCACATGCATTCCACTTTTCTAGGTGAGAGGCTCCTCTGCCTCCCCCTAGTGCAGCACTGTCAGTTCTCGCACCAAGCAGCCATTCAAAATATGCTGCCCGGGCCTAGTGTCAGCTTGAGGTGGGCTATGGCCGTGAGGGAACTCCATCCATACGTGCATTGCTTATAGCTCCCTCACATGTCCTGTAGAGGTGCCTGGACTGGAGTGATGACACATTCTGGCTCCCGGCACCTCTACAGGGCGCGCAAGAGAGCTGTAGAAGCAATGCACATATGGATGGAGCTCCGCCACAGCACAGCAGTCCACACTGGACCCCAGGCTGAGGATCCACTCCAATTCTCGTAAGGTAGTCTTAAAAATTATTTAAAAACATTTGGAGTATGTATGTGTGTGAGAATGTCTGCGATTGTGTATGTTAGTGATTTTGAGGGCCCGTTCACACTAGTACAGTGTGTTAATCTGTACCATGCTATCGCACCTACCATGCATTCTGGTGCGTTGTGTTGCATTGCCATTCATTTGAATGGTACTCCAAACGCACCTCCAACCCACATTTCTTACGCCCACATCGGAATGCGCGGTACCCTAATGCTGTACGTTCCATTGCAGTGGGACTTGGATCACGACTTAATGACCAAGGCTTAATGTGGGTCCTGAGGTTACACAGGTTGAGGACCACTGTTCTAATGAATGTTAGCTAACACCAAAATGGGAATAATTGCACTGGCACCATAATCAGGGATCACAACTGCCATCTTCTATGTGCTCTACCCAATACTTCTTTTGGACTTAAGACTTTAACACCCAGAGTCATTTCCCAGTACATGGCGCTTTGGAAATACTGTTCTAGGGATATAGAATACTGTACATTTTACCTGCTTGTTCCTCTCTTTCTGCTCTGATATACTCATGCCTTGGCTCTTCATTCTCTCTTTGAACATAGCCTGGCGTTTCCTGGCCTCTGCACGTTGCGCCTTCTGCGCCCGAGATCTTTCCTGCTGCTGCTGATTCTTTAGCTCTTCCAGCAAGATGCTTTGGTAATGTTTGAGCCGCTCCATTTCCTGACAGGTTTATATTGTTAGTTATTCCAGGAATTGAGTTTTCCACCTAAATACTGCTTTAGCAAACATTTATAGACATTTAACTCTAAATATAGGCAAATGGCTGAATACACGGTTAATCTAAACAAACGTGAACTGTTTCAACTGCCATAGGATCTGTCAGCCTTGTCTTCTCTGACTGCTCCCTGGACTATGGGGTTGATTTACCAAGGAAAATAGGCTGTTAGTGAATTAAGGTGAAACTCTGTTGACATACATTTTCATTGAATGTGATTGGCTCTTCTTTGTAAAGTGAATTTCCACCACATTCACTAAGCTAAGAGAATATTTCCTTGCAATGTGAAAATTTGCCTTTAGCAAATAAACCCCAATGTGTCAGTGCTGTGGCTGGGCTGATTTCTACAATAAGCGGGGTAGAGTTGGAGACTCCGCAACACAGCAGGCTTTAAAGAAAAGTCACTTACCTGTCCTGGCTACGTAGTACAGAATTGTTGTGTGAATTGCTAGACTGATTGAACAGAATTACAAATCCTTTGGCAAGTAAAACAGTCCATATAGATGTATTATATATATATATATAATGTTCCACTTTAAATTGGCAGTCTAGGGCTCATGCACATGGCAGTAAATGGGTGTATAGCATATAATATGGGAGTATTCTTTCTGTCAGGAGTAACAGGTGCAGCCTACAACCACCGCCATTAAGTCTGTTCAAATCAATGGCAGGCGGAGGCTGCAAGCATATTTACGCAAACATATGAAAATCTGAGGGGCTACATGCATACAGGTCATATGTGTAAAATGTAGAATTGTGCTATGGTCAAATACAGACACAGAGTTACATCAGTAGACAGTCTATATACACTAAAACTCATGCATATGGCCCTGTGCAGATGTAGTCACTCATATTCGCATATACCTGCATGCAGCCCCCACCTACCATAGCTTACTACAGGCTGGCTGGCGATGGCTGTATATTGCACCTGTCACTCCCGGCAGAGAAAGTAGTGCCATATGGTACACTATACGTCCATTTATATTCATGTGCATGAGCCTTTTTATCCCCTGTCCACTATATGAATAACATGAATCTGTGTACTTGAGTTCTGTACTTGACCATGGCACAATTCTACATTTTACCAACAGGTGAACTCTAAAAGGGACAGTTCCCTACTCACAGTTGGTCAGAAAAATTCAAAAAATGTCCATGTGGGAGGGGTTAAGGTCCATGGTGGAATGAGATCCTAACAATATTGTTGGGATCCTCCCAACTTATCTCTACTCCTCATCAATGATGTTAGCTCCCGGCTAAGATTTGGGACACGGATGTGCACCCACAAGGATGGTGCAGCCATAACCAGGGACGAACCTACCACCGGGGCCTGAGCCTAAAGGGGGGCCCAGTATCTGATTTAACACAGCCCCGGGGCACAGATGGGGGGGGCCCGCCGGTGTCCGGCCGCCGGATACCATGGGATCGGACTGAGGATGGAGCCGAGAATAAAAAAGCCGGCAGGCACTTCACGGGACAGCCCTGGGCCTTGGCCGTGGAGGACCCAGCAAGCAGCCGCATGAACACACGGGCGCGCTTTCTGAGATGGACACACACACACACGGGTGGTTTTCTGCAGCCTCCCCCACCAGAAAACAGCCAGAAGAGGTGAAGGTAAGTTATTAATAAAATAATATTTTTTTCAGGCCAACTGATGAACATGCTGTATAAAGTACTGCTGGTATTTGTAGTGCTATACAGCAGGTCCAATTTTGCACTGCAGCAATGCAGAATGGCACCCTCTATAGAGGACTACAAATCTCAGCAGTACTTTATACAGCAATGCTATTTTTCCAACTTTTTTTTTTTGTGTGTGGTTGCAGCAGGGGGGTGGGTTGGGGGGTTTGTGTTTTTGTGGGGGGGGGGGTCCCCCAAAAAATCTTGCACCAGGGCCCTTTGTTCCCTAGGTCTGCCACCGCCCATAACACAGAGCCAAACCAGGAAGGGAACAAATCACAGAATGTTTATTGGGGGTGGTTACAGAGTGAGTGATTTGTTCCCTTCCTGGGAAGCTGAACCACTTGGTGCTTTTCTACCATCACTCTTCTTTGTTTCTATAAATCCTTTTAAACAATAAAAAAAACTTGCTGTACTACCTTGTAAATAACATGTAATCTCTATTATCCCAACTTGCACTAATAACAGCCGGCGATGGCTTATGATGCACCCTACTTGCTCCTTACCTTCTCATGCCTCTTGCGTAGCTGCTGCCTTTGCAGAGTGTGTTGTTCAACCACCTGGTGACGGAAAAGTTGATATTTCTCCTGTAGATGACGTTCCTCCAATCTCAAAATGACAGATTCACGAGCTGCCAGGGACAATAGAACATCTCACTTTAAAGTTGAAGAAAGTATTACTGAGAACCGGAAACCTTTCAGATAAAGAATATACTGTCTATTAAGCATATTTTAGACTTTTTTTTTTTTATTACAGAACCTTACCTAATTCTAATGTGTAGATATTTAAACGCTTCCATTACCTTTGCTTATATCTTTCAAAATTAAATTTAAAATGAATTGTGCCTTACATATAACACAATCTGTCCCAGTGTTACAGTAGAAAACACTGCCTGCACTACCAAAACAGTGAGCCTAAACACATTGCCAGGGATGCCTCCTAATTTATGCTGCTTTGGGATGGTGAAAATGTCTAGTAAATATTTTGAAGAGGACTAAGCTGCTGCTCTGTAGAGTTCCTAAAGGCATAGATGAAACACATGGGCATAGATTTAATGGTGAGAACATGGATAGAAAATTGGCTACAGGAACGTGTCCAGAGAGTATCTATAAATGGCTCCTTTTCAGATTGGTCAAGTGTCAGTAGTGGCGTGCCTTAGGGTTCTGTGCTAGGCCCCATATTATTCAACTTGTCTATTTTCGATATTGGGGAAGGCGTGAATTGCCATGTTTCCTGATGATACTAAAGTCGGGAGGGTAATAGACACGGATTTAGACACTATAACATTACAGGAAGACGTGGATAAAATAGGGGAGTGGGCAACTATATGGCAGATGAGGTTTAATGTCGATAAATGTAAAGTAATGCACTTTGGGGTTAAAAAAAGGGCAAGCAGAATACACATTAAAAGGGACCCCACTAGGGAAGTCAGAAATGGAAATGGATCTGGGGGTCATAGTAGACCACAGATTGAATAGCTTGCAATGCCAGGCTGCGGTAAACAAAGCGAGCAGAGTAACGTCTTGTATTAAAAAGGGATTGCACTGCAGAGACAAGTCTATAATTCTGCCACTGTATAGATCACTTGTTGGGCCTCATCTGGAGTATGCGGTCCCAGTTTTGGTCACCAATACACAGAAAGGATGTCCTGGAGCTGGAAAGAGTCCAGAGAAGGGCAACTAAACTAATTAAAGGGATAGAGGACTAAAGCTGTGAGACAAGGTTACAAAAAACTTAAATATGTTCACGCTGGAGGTGCGGAGATTAAGGGGGACATGATTTTGATGTACAAGATGTTCAATGGTGATAGCAACATCAGAAATAAACTATTTATGGTAAACTCCATAACAAAGACTAGAGGCCACCACCTAAAATTGGTGGAGAAAAGATTTAAGCAGAAGGGGCGTAAGGGCTTCTTTTCAGTTAGAGCGGTTAGGATATGGAACTCGCTGCCACAAGCAGTGGTATCAGTTGAGAGTGTTGAATCATTCAAAATGCATTTGGACAATTTCCTCAGAGACCGTAACATACAGGGGTACAGGTATCATTAAAAAATTAGATCACACGGTGACTCGTACACATGCAGAATCCAAAACATACACACAATAGGTTGAACTTGATGGACCTGTGTCTTTATTCAGCCTCCAATACTATGTAACTATGCATACTCATAAGCATTTGGTTGCATGGACTTTGAGACTTCTTGGTGCCTGTACTCAGCACTTTTATACTTCTGTCATGTCCAATACTACAGATGTTATTATTCTGAAAGCAGCTTTGTTTTTCTGATAGACCTTTAGATGCCTTACAACATTCAGCTCATACCATGGTTTCTCTTCTTTAGTGTGAAAAATTGGGAAAATAGCACACAACTTAATGTCCTGACTGGCACACATAGTAGAGAGCCCAAATATAAGTCTTAAAACTACTTAATTCTGTAGAAAGTTGATTCAGGCTAATATTAAAACATCTACATCTGATATGTTTCCAGCTGTTGCCATAGCCAAAAGAAAGGTTATTTTCAAAACCAGTGTTTTACTAAGGATGGATTCCATGGATACAGAGAGTAAGTGGAGCAATGCCTTTGGTGCATCCTCCTTGGTTTCCAATGGAGGATACCAAACGCAATGGAGTACCTTTCACTGGCTTATCTGAGAGATCACCCTATATCAGAAGGCTGCTAACTAGTTGCACTTCATCAGTACTGAGAAGGTTGACTCTTCGAATTAAGTCTTACAGAAAGAACAGTATATATCCCATTATTGTATAATACTTTGCCAAAAGTGAAGAACTTCTAATGGCCATTAAGGTGTTTATGACTTTCTGCCATCACCCCAAACCTTGGGTCAACCCTATCACTTATCCATAACTCTTAATTCAACCCCAAATCCCTCACCTCCAGCCTACCTTTTATCCTTAAATGTAACCCAAGCACAATTCTACTATAGTGTTAATCCTAATGCTGATACTACTTGCACTAAAACAAACCTTTGTCTTATGGCCTCACCACAACATACCCCAAGAAATTGAAGCTGAGGAAACCCACATGAAAATGCCTGTTGTGGACACAACTGATTCCCTTTTGGCATAGAAGTCTTCCTCTTTGCAATAAGGATAGTGGCCATCTAAAATAGTTCGTCATTGGTCAAGCATGCATATATATGCCTACAGAAGCATTAGGAGGGGTATGGTCACCAACATGGAAGCTGCCATTCCTGTCTTGTTAATGAAGGTGCAAGTTCCAGGGTGATCATTTATACTCAGTGGAAAACAATGTGTTCCAGGCATCTGCATCCCTCCTCAGGGGCGGAATCAGAGTTTAGGATTATATATTTACATTTTGTTAAAACAACTGAGTAACGTATACATTTCCTCCAAGAAGAATTCAACTGCAGTTCTGCTAGGCTTTTTGAGCATTGTGTGTAATCACACAATACCAAAAAACCTGCAATCAAATGAGTGTATTTCTTAGATTTTGCTGGTGTAGCTTCTTTTAGATTATCAGGTTTGTCCAAAATGATTGAAAATGAAAGCCCGGCTTTTAAAACCTCTGTAGTAGAGGAATTCCATTTTTCTCTAATCCCCTCATATTAGTGACCCTTATCCCACTGTTGTTCTCAATTGCTTCTTGTGTACTATTAGAGCTCAATAACAGGCTGCAATGCAAGGTTTTCCCCACAGAAAGCAAATTTTTTGATCTGATAAAGCAGGAAAGATAACTATGGGGGCTCCTTCATGTTACTATTGTAATTGTATCTCTACAGATAATTAAAGCATATTAAAGATTGACATCTATTGGGACAAATAAGTGAAAACATACAAATAATCATCTTCAGGGATCTCTAAAGTTAAGTTTTGGTCAAATGACTGTAGACCTGAACCACCTGAGTAGTTAGCTGGTTCCACAGCCTAAAGCTGGCCATACACCTATAGATTATCTGCTGATTTTCTACGGTCAGATGGAAAAAGTGCAACAGATTCCTCCATCTACGCCTAACTGTGTGGATGGAGGACTCTCCCACTGGGCCAAGCTTCAGTATCTTGCTAGTTGGCCCAGCTGGCTCTCAAAATACCTGAACAATGCCTGCATCCAATCAGATTGCTCATGTGTTTTCAGAGCCAGCGGGAGATTCCTCCATCCACACAGTTTAGCGTAGATGGAGGAATCTGTTGCACTTTTTCCATCTGGCCATAGAAAATCTGCATCTATAGGTATATGGCCAGCTTTAGGCCAGTTTCTCACACTTACCAGTTTTGAGGCTGTGAATTTTGCCGAGGTTCTCTCTTTCAATACTTATGACCTTTTTCTTGTGTTCATTGACCACTTTTTGTAGTGCTGCGTTCAACTCCTGCTGCTGCTCTACAAAGAGCATCTCCTGGTGAGAGAAGAGGTGTTTCTGGTCATCTCACAAACCCACTGACAGTTCTGATAAGCCTAATGCCCTTTATAACAATAAAAAAGGACACAAATTAAATTAGTCTATAGAAAATTACACCCTAAGCAATTGAAAAAAAAAACTTTTGGTTTTTTAAACAAACACTATGCAGTTCACATGCCTTTAGCAATGATACACATGTGGGATAAATGTGCTGCCACAAGCATCCAGGTTCATTACTAAGGTTCTATGTTTTGGTGTGTTCCGCTGGATTCAACTTTATTGGAATCTGGATTCTACTCCTGTGTCTTCTTGGCGAGTTACGCTGTCTGTAGATCCTGAAACAGCAAGCCACCAGATTTGCCATACAGAGTGTCATAAAATACACCCAAAACAGCCAGGTGGACAGGAAGATAGTTGCTTACTAAAGCAGGGAGATCTCACTGTTGGGAGTATACAAGTCTTATAAAGCTGGCCATACACCTATAGATTATCTGCAGACTTTCTATGGTCAGATGGAAAAAGTGCAACAGATTCCTCCATCTACGCTAAACTGTGTGGATGGAGAAATCTCTCACTGGGCCAAGCTTCAGTATCTTCCTAGTTGGCCCACCTGGCTCTCGAAATACCTGAACAATGCCTGCATCCAGAGAGCCAGCGGGGCCGATTAGCAAGATACTGAAGCTCGGCCCAGTGGGAGATTCCTCCATACACACAGTTTAGTGTAGATTGAGGAATCTGTTGCACTTTTTCCATCTGACCGTAGAACATCTGCAGATAATCTATAGGCGTATAGCCAGCTTAAGAAGTGACTGGCTCAGCCCACCAAACCCCTAACTAAAAAAATCACTTCTGAGTGGGCTCACCTTTTAAGTGGCTCTACCATTACAAACCATAGGAAGGTCATTACCTACACCAGAGTTTTGTGCACAGTGAGGGTGGTAATATATATGAATTAAAATCCATGTAATCTAAAGAAACACTGGATAATTATTAAAGCACATCTAGCTTTGATATTGAAGTACAGCATTTAAAAAAAGTCTGCAGCCAATTATATAACAAAATGTTCAGAGCAGCACAAAGAATTCCATAGAGGCAAGTTGGAAAACTTATCAAACAAATTCCCAAAAGCTTCTCGGGTGCTTTGAGGAACTTTCGGGAAGCATTTCTGAAGTAGCTGATGTTTATCATCTACGATTCTAGAGCAGGGGTAGCCAAACTCCGGCCCCCCAGCTGTGGGGGAGCTACAAATCCCATGAGGCATTGCAAGATTCTCACAGCCACGACTCCCGGAGAGAGATGCATCATGGGATTTGTAATTTCACCACAGCTGGAGGGCCGGAGTATGTCTACCCCTGTTCTAAAGCAAGGGTGGGGAACCTCCGGCCCTCCAGCTGTGGTGAAACTAAAAATACCATGAGGCATTGCAAGATTCTCACAGACTCCCAGAGACAGATGCATCATGGGATTTGTAGTTTTGCCACAGGTGGAGGGCTGGAGGTCCCCCACCCCTCTTCTAGGAGCACACTATTACATTAGCAGGCAATGCACCCGCACTGCAGCGCAACACGATATACGCGTGCCATGCTCTGTGGTCAAAAAAAGGGTGACATACGAGTTTTTCTGCATTAAGGTGCGCTGCTGGCCCCATAACACAGCCCAAAGTGTGAAAGGGGCCTAAGGCTACATTCACACTAGGTGCGATTAGTGTTGGAACTTGTTGCACAGCCTCACAGAGAAACACAAGCACACAGTCTGATATGCATGCTGCACATGGCTTGAAACAGGAAGGAAGCCACAGCTTTATTATCTACCTTGTTCAATACAACAGAGTGTCTACCATAGATATATAACAGAACTTATAAACACTGCCATCTAGTGACCGAAATGTATACTGCAGGAGTTGTTGCTATAAACACAGTAATGTGTATTCTAACAATTAGATGCGTTTAGATGCATTTAAAATGGTTTTCTAAACGCATATATATGCATCTAATTGTTTCCAATGGATCTAATTACAGCCTGCGTTTAAATGCTTTTATCTGCAGTCAGTTTAGATATGTTTAGAAAAAATAGAAGTCAGCTGCGTCCAGGAATTGATTTGAACTTCTAAATTCACCAAGACGCATGTAAACACAAGATGCATTTATTTGCAGAAATCTCACTGGCTACTCCAGTGGACAAAGGACAAATGTGTGTAAACACATATGCGTGTAAACACACATAATTTTAAGCATTTAGAAGCATAAACAAAGCATTTACACTGATGGATTTTGCAGGCAGATGTCTAAATAGGGACCAACCTAACCTATCCAATCAATTTGTAACCAATCAGGTAGGCCCTTGCACTACATAGTTGTTGGTAGATCTAAAGCTGCCCATACACCTTGCGATCATCGGGCGAAACATTTCGCGATGATCGAACCATTGTACGATTTTTGTACGGCGGCCCCATCCTGCCCTGATTATCGCAAGGTTGGATCAGCGGTAATTAAAAGAAAGCACCTGGACGAACTGCGGTAATCGACCGCACGTATTTTCGTACGGAAACGCCACCAACCTTGCGAAAAATCGTATGATCGACAGAAGTTTTCTAACCTGCTAGCTAGTCAAAAGTCGATCGATTGTACAGTATTTGCGGTTGTACACCACCCATCAACCTTACGAATATCAGACAAAAACACGATCGCATTCGAAAATCGGCCGATATTCGTAAGATGTATGGGCACCTTAAAGGAGATTGTACAATCAGATTGTAACGTGTGATGAGCTTTAGTGGTGTATAAAAATTGTCAATGCTAAAAATGACCACTATGGGAGATCATGCATTATGCTTTAGTGAACTGATGTCACCGTGTCTACCATATCCACATCCTTGCAATACAAACTTGGTAGCAATTAATTAGGTACAACCTGTGCAGGTCTGAAAATTTGCATAATGACTTAATTGGCTGCTACGTGCAAAACGGAACTTATTGTAGACATATTGATAGATGAGACAAGAACCTAGAGGCACCAAAGCAAAGGACAAGCAGGTTGATCCTTTCAGCAATGGTGCATTGAGCTATGCAACACATCAAAGACTTACATCCTGTGCTTCAAAATAAAAGAAATAAAAAAAAATGAATGGAAAGCAAAACCAAAAGACGATGTTTTCTCTGAGACCAGTCTCACCTCCTGCCCTTTGTCCTTTAAATCTGCCCTCCTCTTGCTCCTTTCCTTCTGGTGCTGAGCTCGGAGACGTAGAGCATCTTGTCGCAGGCGGTTGGTGTGCTCCTGCTCCCTCCGCGTCCGTGTCTGCTCCATCTGTCTCTCCAGGGCCTCAATCTCCCGTTCATAGTACTGCTTCTTTCCCTGGGAGTGCAAAATGATCACTAACACCGAACACATGCAGGCCTAAGCTTTAACCCCTGACTAATTCCCCCGCTGCGGTCCTCGATCCTCGGGTATAGGATAAGACCATCAAGCACTTCCCTCACCTCTAGCAGATCTTCCCTATTGTCTGGTTAACACAATGCAACAGATTCCTGTAAACATTTCTAGTCTGGCCTTGATGGTGCCCTGACATCCTCCATTCAGGGATTACTATGGGAACACGCCAGCATCATCAACATCTATGTATTGTGACACTTCTTACTATGATCTCCTGCTCGATGTGACGGAACATGATCTCCCTCTCCCTCTGCATCCTTTGCTCCAGCTGACTCTGGGCTTTCATCTCTTCCTTCTGCAACAGTCTCAATTGCTGAAGCTCTTGACGCCTGCAAAACACATTAGATGAGCGCTTCATCGGATGATTTTTAAGAGCCCCCGTTTGCTCGAGAACATAAAGAGGACACAGATTGACAATACAGCAGATAGGCAGTTAACAGCTGCAGCGCAACGCTGTGACAGATTTCCATGCAAATGGCATATATTCATTGCCTACGCAAAATGTAATCATCCTTTTTGTGTTCAGATCGATGAAAAGGTTTGTTCGTTTATTCTCACACAATGACGTCACTTGCTGCCTTATTTATTATTTATTATGGTGGTGCAAAGAAGCGTTGATAATATGCAAAATGCAGTAATCCCGTAATTTTTTTTTCTTTTATTTACTAAGGCAGCGCAAAAAGCACGAATAACGTGCAAAATGCAGTAATCCGTAGCCACTGATTCTGATTGGCTGCTGTGCTTAATAGCATATCATTATTGTTCTTTGCGCAGCCTTATTGGGCTGTTTGTGTATTATACAGTAGCCAATTGACAAAGAATGACAGAACTTGGCAGCCAATTCCAGGAACCAGAAAATGTATTGAATACATTTATATAGCAATCAGATATTCCTCAGGGTTTGGCAGAGTAAACAGAGCCATTCATATAAACAGGAATAAGAAAGGTGCACATTGGCTGTTTGGGTCCTGGGACCTTTATCCTGGCATGACCTTGTGATCTGTGGTGCATACTGTAAGTGTCACTGTTTGTTGATGATAGGGACACTTTAAATGGCATGGCTGTACACAGTAAAGACAGCCATGTTCTCCCTGTGCTTGCATGGGTTTCCTCCCACACTTCAAATAGATGCTGGAAGGATAATTAGCTCCTGTCTAAATTGGACCTGTATGTATGAATGTGAGATAGGGACCTTAGATTGTAAGCTCTTTGAGGGCAGGGACTGATGTGAATGTGCACTATGTAAAGCGCTGCATAAATTGTCGGCGCTATATAAATACCAATAATAAATAAATAAACAAAATTCAGAACTCTGATAAGATTCATAAGATTTTGGCCAATCAATCAATCAATTAATAAATCAATCAATCAATCATTAGTAACATCTTAGGACCCTATATAGGTTAGTAGCCAGCAAGTCCACAAATCAGGAACCTAGACATTGTCACCCGGGCAAAGGCTCAGAGTTGCTCCCTACCCCCCCTCCAAGGGAGAAGTTCTCCATCCACACACCCAGTGGGACCCTACCTAAAGCTGCACTCGGGGGCACATGCCCCCCCCAGCCCCCCTAGCTTTGGCCCTGCCACAAATTATGGCACAGTCTGGAAGTAGGATCTTCTACAATTTTGACATCATACACTGCATACTTTACTTGGTAGGGTGGCATTGAATCTTCTGACAAATTATTATTACTATACAGGATCTAAATAGCGACAACAGTTTGCACAGCTCTTTACAATGTAAGGAAGACATTAGAGTTACAATACAGTTCAAGACAATATGGTAGGGAGGGCCCTGCCCGTGAGAGCTTACAATCTAAAAGGGAGGGGCAAGTGATACAGGAGGTGGTAGCTGTGTGGGGATGAATTGTTTGAGAATGTGATAGTTCAGTGGCTAGGTTAAGGCGGGATAGGCTTCCCTGAAGAGATCAGTCGTTAGGGATCGCCTAAAGGCAGACAGAGTAGGAGCTAGCCGGACAGGTTAGGGTAAAGAGTTCCAGAAGAAGGAAAAGGCTCTAGAGAAGTCAGTCGAACCGAAGGGTTGCTGTACGGGCTATTCACAATAGCCTGTACAGCAGCTGAAGGCAGGCGAGCGGCTCAGCCAAGCCGAAGGCATATGCTTCCGCTCAACTGAGCCGAAGTGACAGCTGAAGCGTGGAGAAAGGTCGGCCACAGCCGACCGATCTCCATGCAAATGACAGCTGGGCGGAGCCAGCTGTGATCTCACGGCTCGCTCCACCCAGTTGTATATACAGATCAATGTCCACAAATGACCTGGGGATGCTGATCTGTCATTAAACAATAACAACTGGGCAGATTTTTTTTCTTAAATGTTTTAAATTATTTTTCAATTTTTTTTCTTTTTTAAAAATGAATTTCACTCTTTTTCTTCGGAGGTACCAAGCAGAATAGCCAAGCTCTGCAGCATTCGGCTATTCAGTCACTGCCGTTCGGCCCCTAAGAGAATAGGGGCGAACGGCAGAGAGTGAGCTGCTGGAGCTTTGGCTCAGCCAATCCAGATGTTGGTCGAAGTCCCTCTGCACTTCGGCTCAGCCGAAGGCAGCCGATGTACGGCTGAAATCAGCTGTACTGGGCCGAAGTGAATAGACAAACGTCGTTCGGCTCGCTTATTCACTCGGCTTCCTTCGGCAACTTTGTGAATAACCCTGTAAATGTGAGATTGTAGTCCATCATGGGGGTGAGCTTGGTGCGGTGGCTACTCTACAACACACACAGGGACCATGGGGAAAAAAAGGAGCCACCACTCCAGAAGGAAGGACAGTGTCAGCACCAATTCAGAGATGATCTAAGAATCTACAGACACAAATAAGATCCAGTATTGTTAATAGGGTACTTGAATGCATTTTTAAGATTTAACTCCTAAGCATAGTGCTACTTTTGATCATGTCCAGGCCAGGGCAGTTTTTTTTCCCAAGCCAAAAAAGCATCCCAATGTATCCCTATGATATTTCTGGGCTCTGTTCACACCAGCGCAGTCCGTTCCCGACCAGACCAAAGCAATAGTGCTTGTCTTATTTTCTCTGGTCTGGAATGCACTGGATTGCATGGAAACGCATAAAAAAATGCATACTAACACATGCAAACGCACTGTGCCGCACCTAAAACGCCATTTTAAGCTAAAAAAAAAAAGTAGTAAAATCGCAGCAAAAACCTGGCAAAACACAATGCACCACGTTCCAGATCTGGTCCGGAAAATGGTGTGAACCTGGCCTAAAACAGGAAGACTAGATGGAAAACTTATTTTTTTTTAGTTATCCATAAAGTTTTGCTATTGATCAGCATAGCAGATCCGCTACAGCACTAAATATATCACACGTATATCGACGCAACCTAAACAGATAAAGGTGCAGGCTTGAAATCACATGCTCACCTAACTGAACGCTCTTTCATATCTTTGTTGCTTGTATCAGCTTTTCGCTTACAAGATGACACTTTCATTTCCTTCCCATCCAACATGAACCTCCGTGTAATCCGTACAGTTCTGCCAGCATGTTCGGTGATATTCTCATTTTGATCTAAATGCATTTCTGCTCCCTGAGTAGAGAAGGGAAATCAGATTACTTTCCTATCAACAATCTCTTGAGTTCATTGTAATTTTATAAGAGATGTTTTGGCTGCTATGACCAGGTGTTCTCCCGACAATTGCCAGAACTAAATTAAAAGAGCGTGGAAAAAAAAAAAAAAGATGAAGGCGGTATTAAAGGATTACTGTACTTTTAAGACACTTTGAGGTGGATTTTCTAAAGGCAGAGAGGCTGTTCCCTTCACTAAGTGAATGAAGGAAAATAAGGTGAACTTGTGTTCACATTGTATACCAGGGATCCCAACCTGAAATAAGTGATTTCAGGAAGGTGCCCTTCTCATTTCAGGGTGGTGCCCTCAGGGGGTGGGGGTGCAACAACAAGGAAGAGAGCACCCCCCTGAAATGATGGCAGATAGCAAAGAAGCTAATGCTTCCCTTGCTATCTGCTGTTCTTTTTAGTATTCTGACGGCTGCTGCCATCAGAATATATATATATATATATATTTTTTAAAAACCCAGCATGGGAATGAATAGCTAGATTGCTATTGGCTATTTCAATTTGCAATAGCCAATAACAGTTAGATAAAGCAGAGGAAACCTTTCCGGGAGAAAATGTTTCTCTCCTGGGTGTCCAGGAGCTGCTATCTTATAGCGGGAGACTTCCGGAACATCCGAGAGAGTTGAGATGTCTGGTACACCCAATCATTCGCTAACTACAAAAATCCTGTTTTTAAATTTCCTTCACACACCATTGGGTATTGAATGTGAATTCATAATTTTTTTTTTTTTAAATTTAAAAAAAAGTTTTCAAAAACATATTACAAACATACAGACAATACAGAGGTGTTGGTTACACATAAACAACAAACAATATGCAGGAAGCAATCGTTTTGCCCACAGTGAAGGAATGGGAATCAGGTATGAGGGAAGATGGGACAACATACTAAGGGTACCAATGTGCGTGAGTTCATCTCCCACTGTTGACAAAAGTACTGCTCACATACGAAATGTCATGGTCATATCAGAGAAAGAGAAGACAGGCATAAGGCCATCATTGTTAGTAGACATAGGGAGAGAAGGCTACTCTCCTAATACTATTCTGGCATGTATATATCCAAATGGACAACTCAATTTGCCATTTCTGGAATTTCCAAGTTGGGATGGAGGGGTGTTGCCCAGGAGAGAAGTGGGGGGGAGCCTAGGAGGGTGGGATATACATAGGTTATGGGGTGCAAAATAGGAGGAGGGGACAGAGTGGGGCTGGGGTTGAAGAGGTGAGGCAAGGGTGGCCTTCTGAAATAATGTGGGGGAGATCCACTGCTCATGGCCCTCGCCCGACGGATCAATCAGAATATGCGGGCCAGTAGAAAAAGCAAGTCTAAATTCACTTTTGTTTACTAACATACACTTCACAAAGTGAACATTTACTGTACTCCTAGCATTCATTACGTCAACGGCCTTTACTTCTTTAGTAAATTAACCTTGTTATCTCTTTTAGTATATCAGGAAAGGGGTGCCAAACCAACAGAGCTAAAGACTTTCCAGGTGAAAATACCTCAGGGGGGCACTCCAAAACCACAGGCTTCCACAGATCCAGTGATGGTGGGGCAAAGGCCGCAGGCCCCAATGTCTGGGCCTCTCACTCTTCAGGTGGACTCTACCAAACATGAGCAATCTCACCTCAGATAGACAGTTCTCTGTACTCCACTCACACCATTTTGTGATAATGGAGTTCAGAGTTCACAGCACTGTTGAACTCAAGAAGTTACACGGAGGAGATGTTTTTACAACCTTTTCTATTTACTACAGCAAAGTACCTAAAAACAGTGTTTGTTTTCAGTTTTAAAAAGGCTAATATATGGCATGGTAGATACTTTCAGAGTACTTCAAAGCCATCCATTGCTTTGTCCTAGCTTGCAGAACTTCCTATTTTAAAGGCCAGAGGAAACATGAACTAGGCTTATGGCATTCCACCAGGCACCACCTTAGCCCATGTGGGCTTGGATCAGTGGAGGTGCTTCACATCTTGATGGTTTAAGTAGCTTTAACAGGATTGGGATTGGATGATCCCGTAGCTCAGAACACTTCACAGCCAGAACTGACAGCTCCAGCTGACCACTGTCACCTCAGGTGTTTCCACCTACCAGATAACCTCCTGGGATTGACTGAGGGGCTACATTCTCTCCACAGGTCCTAATCCCAGGAGACAGAGCAGAGGATCTTTTCATAATCAATGTAACTTTGTCTCTTCAGGCCCCTTACATATTCTGGGGTACCCAGCAAATTAGCATATACAATTTTGTACCTCTGCCTTGTCATTTCCTGCATTCAAGCATTAACATCCCAAATTAGACTAGTTTAAGTATTGCATTGTTTATATTCAGCATGTATGTGGTCTACCATGATCACCAGTAAAATTTAAAAAGATATCTAAAGATCAGTTCATAAAATGCAACATAAGATAGTGATGACTTCTAGTCTGCACTCCATTCAAGTACATTTTGGAGAAAGACCACAAATTACTAGAGGAAAACAACCACAATGTATGTTTTGCTAAGCCTTGTCCATCCCTCCCTCATATGTAATTCCAGCCAGCCAGTTATGAAAGGCAGAATGCACATTTTGAGGGATCTCTGATGTGTTCCATGTTGGCCTCAGCAATGAAGTGTTAAGGGATCTCTCATGTGTTCCATGTTGGCCTCAGCAATTAAGTATTAAGGGATCTTTGATGTGTTCTATGTTGGCCTCAGCACTGAAGTCACACATGGCTGAGGGTAGCCAGGAATGGCAGCTCACATGTTTCTCTTGTGACAGCTGTACTTTGATGCAAATTGTTTGGCCCAGTGAACATGTTAAAATTAACATTTCTACCTTTCTTTGTTCCTAAGAGCTTGAATCCTCTGAGTTTTGGTATTTTGGCAGGGTTTATCCCAGAAGTCAAGGAAGTCAAGCCTTTTTAACAAAATTAAGGTAATCCGGCTAATTGATGTAATACCATGCATGTTGTGGTGGCTGCTGCTGGTATGCACAGTTTTTCTTTTAACATAGGTTGAACTTGATGGACTTGTATCTTTTTTCAACCTGACTAACTATGTAACAGGGACGTGCTCTCAGGGGAGGCAGGTGAGGCAGAGCCTTACCTAGTATTATGGAGGAAAAAACTGTCAGCTTCAAGTTTCGCCATTGGTCCAAGCTGTCCAATCAAAAAAAGAGAAAAAAACCCACTGAGGCCATCGATCTTTAATGCTTCAGCAGTGACGAGGGAGGGAGAGACCGGGAGGCTCCTCCCTGTCTCCTCCCTCCCTCAAACTAGCTTGGTGACCAGGTTGGGGGGCGGGGCTTTGGCAGGCTGGGGGCGGGGCTGTGCATGCTGGGGGTGGGGTTGGGGAATGCCTCACCAAAATCCGAGGATACCGAACGTCACTGCTATGTAACTATGTAACATTCTAAATGCCTTACACCCTCTGTTTAAAATATAACAGCACTTTTAATAAATATTGTACTTAGTGGTGCAGCCTATATAATAACGCAAATATGATAGGATAACATTACTAAAGATATCTCCCATTTTTGCATCCATCTTTACTCTGAGTTGCTCCGGGACACCACTAGAGGATGCTGTTTGGAGACTGTAGATCTGCGCTGTATTGAACTATTTCAGCAATAGGTCAGAAGCAGGTATTCAGTGCACAGCAGGATGTATGCAAAGTAAGGAGGCGGCAAGCAATGTTACTGGAAGCAGAAATTATTTTTGTACAGGTAACACATAATACTAATATTTCGGAGGCTGCTGTGACAAAGTCACAAAGTGCAAATGTAGAAATTTCAGTGAAAGTGCAGGTATATTTTAAGACAGAAAATCTATGTAGGTTCCATTCCACATTTGTTATTACTAGAACAGATGAGCAAAACCTCTGCTCTATATTCTACTCATGACTTATAAAAACATTGTGAGCCAGGAGAATCTGTACAACGTGGTTTCCTCATTTCTAGCTGCTAGGTGAAAAAGATGTAAGCTGAGTCTGGGACTATACTTTTCATGTTAACACAAACAATAATGTGAGACAGTCTTCAGTTAGGTGCAAATAACCTTGTCTTACAAAGCCTACTGAGATCTCCTACCTCCTGTGCATTCTCCAGACTTGAGTCCATTTGCGTTCCACTTCCAAGGTATGCAAGTCCTTCATTTTCCTGAATAGCTCCATCGTTTAGCTCACTGGGTATGACGGTCCATGAGCATCGAGCAAAGTTTAAACTTTTATTTGGTATGGTTTTATTATTATGTCTATGAACAATTCCTTGCTCACCAGTCCCGACTGTTTTCTCAACCTCAGACTCCATGATAACACTTTCCTCAAATCTCACTCTATGTCCTTTGGTTGAGGAACACTTTCTGTTGTCTTGTCCATTAACATCCACCATGATTTTAAAATCTGGCTTTGTTTCCTGAGATGTGTCCTGTGGTGAACTAGTTTTTTCACTTTCTGAAAAAGGGAAGGTCCATCTCCGCAGTATTTTCCCAGATGCATCCCGGAAATTTGGTTTGCCTCCGCCGGTCTGTCTAATATGGTCTGGTGAAACTGGCCTGAGCGGCTCTGCATATGTTTGGCCACATGTGTCTATATAACTGTAGTTTGCTACTTCATTACTGTTCTTTGTATTTTCTATATTGGTCACAATGGACTCTGCAGAATCTTCATGGTTCTTAGCTGATGGAGGGGATATATGTGGCTGGCAGACCATAGTCTCTATACATTCCATTTCAGAAGTATTAATAACCATTTCTTTGCTGCATTCTTGAGTATCTTCAAGCACAGAGATATTTTTTGGATCATTTAGCCTTTCTTGTACATGATTGACTTTGTTATATGTTCCACCCAGATCTCTCATTTCCCATTTTACCGATGCTCTATTCTCCCTTTTCTCAGAGGAACGGTCCCATTTCAGTACATCAGACGGTTGTGCAGAAACAGAACAAGAACCTTTCATCACCACCTCAGCTCTGTCACTCCTTAAATACCCATCAGGTTTTTGATTGTCAGTGCACTCAGTAGTTTCACCTTCTGTATTACTAGCTGAGCCATTGGATTTTAGTTTTATCCAAGAACATTTCCTTAAATGGCCTGGCATTGACAATGTTCTACCTATCTTCCTAGAAGAAATGCAGAGGTCCTCACTACTTCTCCACTCTGACATCGGACAGACAGGTGAGACAGGACTACTGGCTTTATCCTTGGTATTAGGGGAACCTGAATGGCCTGAAACTGAACGGCCTATGAAGACAAAGTTGTCATGAACATCTACTTGGGGTAAATTCTGTGTGTCGTGTAGATATTTTTTAGAAATCTCTTTAGAATCCTCTTCTACATTTAAAGCATTTCTGCTGATTTCCTCTACAACTTTAGTGTCCTCCACCTTTGTTTCAAGAGGTGCAGAAGAGTCAACTTCTGTAATTTCAGAGTTGGGTGGAACAATAGGATCATTTTGAAGAGCGATTTTCTTCCACTTAGAAAGCTCTTTCTCCTTCATGTGACTATTTTCACTATCCATTTTCCACTTAACAGATGCCCTAACGTCTTTGGAAAGAGAAGGGGCAGAGCGCCTGCGCATCTGTTTTAAGAAACTTCTATCTCTCTGTACTGGAATTGGTGGCTTCTGGCTGAGGTCTTTTACAGGGTCTTCTTGAACTTCACTAGACTGGTGCAAACCATTTCTTGTACATGTATCCTCTGCTTTGACAGAAGACTTCTTTACTGGAGATTTGGTGTCTGTCAAACTGTTATCTGTACTGTTACTTCCAAGCGTAAGTTCAATCTGTAATCAAATAATGAAATATTATTTAAGTGTATTAGACAATAGTATTATTACTTATCGCTTGAATTCTTTAGGCATTTTGCTAGCATTACTTTTCCATACTGAAAATAATTTTTAAACTGTGTTACCTTATGATATTTTAGAGAAGAAATCTTACATTCAAGGGTACAATACATAATTCTTACCTCAGAACTGCTGTCCTTCAGACTCCCCACTTCTTCCTCCTCCATGATATCTGCCAGGAGCTCAGCCACTAGTTCTCTCAGCGGGCTGTTGTCAGTAACACTAGACACAAATGGGTGCTTGGGAAAAAACATGTTTTTTTTGTTTATTGGTGGTTTTTGTGGAGAAGTTACCAGAATCGGTTCTTTGTTTTTATTATATATCTTTATTACTAACCTCAAGAAGCTCACTAGCTGAGGATCGTTCCTGCGGGTTTCTTTGTAAGCACTTGTGGAGAAAACTCTTAAACTCTGGTGACCTAGGTAGAGTCAGAAAGTATCCTCATTAAATAAACCATAATACAGGGATCTCAAGTCTCCCTGATGTTCAGGGAGTCTCCCTCTATTAGATAGCAGCTCCCACTTTGTGTATGTATGTATGTATGTATGTATGTATATACTGTATATGTTATTATCATTATTATTTATTTTATATTCTGATGACGGCTGTAAAAAAGACAAAACAGAAAGGGCACCTCCCTGAAATGAGACGGGAACCTCTCTGAAATAAGGTTTTGCAGGTTGGGATGTCTGATAATAAATTACATATGAGGTTAAAGACACCAAAGCTCAAACCTTGTTGGTCTCAGGTGCCATTTAGATGGTTAGTGATCCTATGTGTCAACCAATTTGTTAATTTTTTGGCTATCTCACAGCCATTCAAAGGAAACATGTTCTGCGACAAATTCAAAGAATGCAATTGCTGAACTTCTTCTAAGAATACTAGTTCCATGGCTTCAGTGATTTCTCAGTCACAGAGCTTGAGCAAGCGTTCAGAGTAGAAGGTCAGAACTTCTGTTCTGCATAGTTGTTCCTGGTCAGTGACTTTCAGGCTAGGTTCACACCTGCACTACACCACACGACACCCGGGACGCGCGTCCAGGGGCCACGCGATTGTGTGCTAGTGAACACAGCGATTGATGCGTGGCCCCATTGATTTCAATGGGGTGACATCCACGCGGAAATCACTAAAAAAAGGTACAAGACTCGCTGCTTTTTTAGCGTTCATGTTCACTTGCACGGGCGGAATCACGGCGGGAAACCGCACGATCCGCCCAGCGCGACTGGGGTGCCATTAGAAAGTAATGGCACCCACAGCGCGATTGGTTCACACCTTGGCGACTCCTGACCACACGATTTGTGCAATTGTGCACAAAGCCGCGCGGATTGCCCCGCGGTCAGGAGTCGCCTAGGTATGAACCTAGCCTGAAACTATTTAAAAAACATTGGATGAACATGACTTTCAGGCAACTATCATTAACTAACACAACAGGTTTCTTTGAATTCTTACAGCGGTCTCAATGGATGTGAGGCCAGAGCTTTTGTGTTGCTTTGAGGTCTTGGAAGGGGGCCTCTCCTTCAGTTTGCACCTGTAACTGGGTTTTTTGGGATGCTGCTCCACATTAGATCATATACAAGGTTCCAACTGCTTAAAAATATAGAACATTAAACTACAATGCACTTGATGAGGAAAACACATAATGGTTCTCATAGATCATGACAGGAAAGGGGTTTGTGTTGCCCACAGCCCCCACCTCAGGATATTAGATTTGTTGTATAACCTGTATTAAATAAATGACAGCCGGAATATGATTGCTTCCTGTGCGCATTATATTGTCTATTCAATCAGTCTAGATGAAAGGGTCCTTTGTGTTTTACAGAACACATCAGATATGGAATAACATTTTATAACGTATTACCTAGTTGTGAACAGCAGTTTCTTTCTTACCACAAATGACGATACTTCAGGCTTGGTGGCTTGGACTTGAGAATCTTCAGCAAGACACGGGTAGGGTTCATCTCATGGTTTGGTGGCTGAGTCTCAGCCAGCTCAATGAGAGTGACACCTAGAGACCATACATCAGCCTTATAATCATATGGAGCATCTTTGCAAGTCTCACAAGCCACAACCTCTGGTGCCATCCTGTAATCAAGAAAGAGGATAGGAGCATATAAAGTAGGGCTATGACCTACAAGCTTACAGAACAATGCAAAAGCTTCAGTGTACGTACCAAAGCAGTGAGCAGAATATAAAAATTAGAATGATTATGTAGTTGTTCATACAATAATACATTGCAATAAGAAGTGCAAATATGATCTTGACATATACAGTTGTGATGACTGCAGTTTGAAGGTAATATATAGGGATACGAAGTCACCAGCACTTCAGACATGTAATTACATTTGACAAATTGATTGTGTGGAACAGCGTTACAGACGTTTATATGGGCCTGGGACATTCTCGCCACCATATTGAGTGAAGTCACCATTCAACGCTATCACTTCAAGCACCTACCTATTATTTAAGGGTCTGGTACTGTCAGGAGTACAGCTTCATACGTGAACTGAATGAAGGTAAGATGTGACTACTTAGTACATGCAACAATCCCCTAATTAATCTTGACATTACACAATCTGCACGTGGCGATATATGCTGAATTTAGGCTAAGTTCACACCTGGGCGATCCGTGACTGCGTGGCAATCGTGCACAAAACCACACGGATTGCCAGGCGGTCACGGAGTCGCCAACTACAGCCGATCGCGCTGGCGGTGCCATTATTTTCTAATGGAAACCCAGTCACAACATCTGATCGCGCAGTTTCCCACTGTGATTACGCCTGTGCAAATGAACACTAAAAAATGCTGCACATCGTGTGCCGCAAAAAAAGGTACTTGTAATTTTTAGCATCTGCTGCACAGATGTAACCCAATTTAAATCAATGGGGCCGCGCGGCAACCGCTGTGTGCACTACCACACGATCCTGTGGTCCCAGGACGCGGGTCCGACTATAGCTCAGGTCGGAACTGATTTTGAAGCTTTTGTTAAAATGTAACTGTTACAGTATGTGCAATTGCAGAGAGATGTAACTAAGATGTACTAATGAATTAGCGCAGCTTTGTATTAATGCCTCAACTACATATCATTCCACCCCTCTCTACAATTGTAGCCAATCTGAAACCATGTCAATGCAAATAAAGCCAATATTAATAGTCATATAAAATAATCATTTAACAGTCTAGTTAATAAATCAGTGATATGTGATGACCTTATAAGCAGTATGTTGGTTTTCAACAAACAGTGCTGATAGATAATTTTATAGTGAAATTAAATCATTTTATATAATTTTAAAGTAAAAACAAGAGTAAAATCAAATGTTTCACATGGTCACCTGACCCCTAACAGTTACAGTATAACTAATTTTAATTTATTTATTTGGATAGAGTGGTGAGGGGTTAGAACCACCATCGTTTTTTGTTGCTGTAAAGTAAGCCATTGGAACACCATCTATAGAACTAACAAACTTACTTTCCTAGGGTACCAACGCTGCATCTCAGTAGATACTCCACAGTGTGTAAGCATTGTCACCTAGGACAGGAAGTGTGTTAGTGGTCGAATCACCAGGTAAAAGAAAAAAAGAAAACTAATGCAGCAATGTAGCATTGTTTTTGGGGTTTTAGATACACTTCAACCTCATCTAATCTTTATCCTCAACAACTCCAAAAGTTGGACCCTAACCCAGGGGCGTCCCGAGGCCGGGTGTCACCACATGCGCGGTCATCTTATTGACGCCTGCCGGCAGCCATCTTGATGCTGACGCCGGCAGAGAGAGGAGGGGACGTTCACTTGGCGGGATGAAGTATGCCGCTGGGTCCCCTCCTCTCTCCTGACACTGTCGGGCTCTCAGTTCATGACCGAGTGCCCGACTTTTCAGAGTGGGTGACAGTCAGTCATTTTGCTGTCGCCCCTCCAGTGGTACAGTCCGTGTACCCATCGCACTCAGAAGCTCTGCCCCATGAGATAAGAAGTGGGTGCAGCAGGTGTCAACGGGTGGCTTCCATCAAAGTATAAGTAAAAGATGGACACCGGCACTCCAAAGCAAATCCAGTGCGTCTATTTATTCACGTACTTGTTGCAAATGCAAAACACAAGATACAACGTTTCGGGGTCTCACAGGATCCCCTTCATCAGGCAAACAAGTGATCACTTCATCAGGCAAAGTGATCACTTCATCAGGCAAACAATGGATCCCCTTCATCAGGCAAACAAGTGATCACTTGTTTGCCTGATGAAGGGGATCCTGTGAGACCCCAAAACGTTGTATCATGTGTTTTGCATTTGCAACAAGTATGTGAATAAATAGACGTACTGGATTTGCTTTGGAGTGCCGGTGCCCCTCCAATGGTGGCACCCGGGTGCGGGCTGCACACTCCGCACCCCTTTGTGACGCCACTGCCCTAACCTCGACTTAACTTCCAACAGGCCAATACTTTTTCAAGTGCTGGAACCATCGACAGTGAAAGCTACTTCTCATGGTAAAAAAATCTTCTAGCACTGACATAGTGGCACAAAAATTTTTTTTTTCCCAATTGAGGACATTGTATGTGTTCTTTTTTTATCTGTAATGCAATATTGTACCCAAGGTCAGAAATATATACAGTGGTCCATTCCAACAGGTCGTTAAGTCTTTACATTGTATTTCATGCCCCAGGATTAGATTAGGGAAGGGTAAACTCCTATTAGGTTATTCTTTTGCAGCTCATATCCTTCACTTCCCGTTTTGGAGATGGAACCGGAAATTAGAGGAAATCTCTCCAATGCAAACACATTTCCCAGCTAAGAGAGCTGTTGCAAGAACATGTGTCCCCTCAACTCTTTCTATGGTTACAACTCAGAGATTTTTAGTTATTTCCCTTCACTTTCTGTCTCAACTAACCATCATATGCTTATTGAAATAATAAGGGCTGTGCTGAAATGACACCTAAATGAACACAAACTTATATATAATGTGTAAATCTATAAACCAGCTGCTGCTGAGTGACCTCAAAAAGCAGGTAGTGAATGTATTCTCAAATCACAGCGCTAGCAAACTGATAATAGTCCCTATGTGATACACTCTAAACCACATGTGTCAAACACAAGGCCCGCGGGCTGAATCCGGCCCGCCAGGCCATTTCATGTGACCCTCGGACCTCTCTGAAGCCGGTGCTGTAAACAGGTGCCGGGCTTCACAGGAAGGCATCCAAGGTCCCTAGCAAAGTCCCAGCAGCCTTCCTGTGGATCCATGCCACCCGCACCTGCCAAGACTGACATGGTGAGACTGCACAGCCCTCCTAAGACCCTGCACAGCCCAGCATAGACCCCGCACTGCCACCCGAGAGTCCGCACAGCCCACCATAGAACCTGCACAACCCACCTTAGCACCTGCACAGCCCACCATAGACCCCGCACAGCCCACTACAGACCCCGCACAGCCCACCACATACCCCACACAGCCCACCTGAGAGTCCACACAGTCCAGCATAGACCCCACACAGCACCTGAGAGTCTGCACAGCCCAGCATAGACCCCACACAGCCTACCTGAGAGTTTTCACAGCCCAGCATAGACCCCCGCACTGCCACCTGAGAATCCATACAGTCCACCATGGAACCCGCACAGCAACTCGAGAGCCTGCACAGCCTACCATAGAACCTGCATAGCGACCTGAGAGCTTGCACAGCCCACAATAGAACCAGCACAGCCACCTGAGAGCCCACACAGCTCACCATAGAACCTGCAAAGCCCACTTGAGAGTCCGCACAGCTCGCCATAGAACCTGCACAGCCACCTGAGAGTCTGCACTATTACACTAATTGCCATTATTTTTCCTCGACTTCTATTTTCAGAGTTATTAAGTTATTACTAAAACCAGTAATAATCAAATGCAGAGGCAATTATTTAATATGATAAAGAGTAGATACATTTATATGGTCTTACAGATACAACCGGCCCTTTGAGGGCAACCATAATGCTGATGCGGCACGCAAAGAAATTAAGTTTGACACCCCTGCTCTAAACCAATTGATTAATGTGATAATAACAACAAAAGTGATAAATAGTAATAAATGGTGTGAAAGACCAAAATTGGGTACACAAACACCTTTTGTAAAAAAAAAAAATGAAATTCAATCCCAATCTTTATATATTCTTCTCAGCATTCCATCAGTGTTCATAGTGATAGTGAATCCCAACGTGCCCCTTCAGATATGGCACTCACCAGAATTAATGTGACCTAGTATAAATATACTTTGGTCATAGCAAGCAATCCACGTTGATGTTATCTCTCAGATGGCTTCTCACCACACAGACAGGACCAATGGCATCAGTGCTGAAATGGTGACTCTTTCAATATTTCGTCATAAACAGGACATTAAAAGACATCATAGTGTAAAACCATTTATTACATAATTCATTTAAAAACAAGTGCACTTACATTTACAATAGGATAAATCTGCAAAAAATCCCACACAGATTCATCGGGAAACTCCACTCAGCAGTCCAAACAGGAGTGAAACATCATAAAAAAAATCCCCAGAAGACTCCACCCGACACGCGTTTCATCAAGAGCGATCGCTCTTGGACCAGTATCAGTCTGACCAGTATCAGTCTGACCAGTATCAGTTTTCTTGTGCTGTGATTTGAGAATACACCATATGCTTATTGTAAAATCAAAGAAACGCTGTACAGAGGAACTATGAAAGCTGGCAGCTGCCACTGCTGGCCAATCCTTTAAAAAATGCTGGTTGCCTGGCTATCATTCTGGTTCAAAGGCTTCAGTACATTCTGTATTACTAACCAGGAACAAGTATAAAGATCTGGGATTCTGACTTTTAGGGCCATTTCACACCATCGTGTTTTGCGTGTAATTGCACGATCCTGTGCATTGAACGCACGCTATCGCATAGTCCTTTGTTACCACGCGCTAAGTGAGTTGCATTGCCATTCATTTGAATGGCACACCAACACATCTCCGGGCGGCCATATGTTGCAGCACGACGCGTGGTTCAACAATACCGTGTATTGTGGTGATGGTGGTGCATTGGGGTGCCATTCAAATGAATGGCAATGCAATGCACCTAGCACACAGTAATGCACGCTAGGAGTGCTGTGTGATAGCGTGCATTAAACACACGGTATTTGGCAATTAACACAACATCGTGTGAACGGGGCCTTAATCTTTATGCTTTTTATGGGTCACTGGCTCAGCTAGTACCAAAGACAGGGACATACAGGCTACTAGCATTTTTTAGTAGCCCAGCAGTGGCAACTGCTTAATTTCTCTCAGTACAGGTTTTCTTTATTCTGGACATTGACAGACCCATTGGAAACATGCTAGTTAGATTAGCGCACTGATCCATTCCTAAGCTTTGGTTTCTAAGTAACCACTCTCCTTTAAATAATGTATGCGGGCCTTAAATTATTTAACTGATTTTTTTATCATAGCAGCTGAGAATTAAAATGTATTTCTTCACTGTACAGATGATTTATATGGATTTCAGTTTTTTGCTTTTTGTGTTCTGATTACTGTACTACAAGGGACATCTACAATGATTCTATGTCATTACAAATGTACTGTACTCACCAATAAGGTGTTCCGATAAAAGAGCTACGGCGTTGTAACGTCTGGCTGTTCACCGCAGAGACACCAAAATCCGCTTATGAGAAAAAGGACACAAATCACTTCATTAGTAAAAATAAAAATACAACTATAAAAAAAGCAGTCTCATAAGCTAATATCTCTACAAGGGACATTATCTCTCTGCTATTCCTTGAGGGGTTCTCTATCCAGCATGTAGGGTGAGATAGTTGCCTTCTGAATTTCATGATAACAAAAGGGAAAAGTCTTGAACCCTTTCACACGGACAGTGCCTTCAGATGGAAGGATCGGAAGCCCAATTTAACTCTATGGGCAGCCGGATGTAAGCAGACATGCGTCTGTTTACATCTGATTACCCCCGACTACATCTAGTTCCAGAATAAATGGACCTGAATAGGATGGATTGGAGGTAATCAGATGTAATTGGACGCATGTCTACTTACATCTGACTGCCCATAGATCTAACATGGGTTCAGTTAGTTCAGCTTTTTCCTCCGTCGCATCCAATAAAAATTGCTAATGTAACCTCCTCATCCATCACCACCTCCTAATCCCTCTATTCCTACTTGGTAGAATTGCAACAGCATATACTGTAATTATGTCTTTTGAGCTGTAGATGGCGCTGTACTGCAATGCTAGTCTATGCTAGTTTTCAATATGCATGCTTATATCTATGATATACAGGAAGTTCTATCTATATGTATGCTATAGGTCTCATTGCTTTATTTTAAACACATAACCAACACTTCTCCCCTTTGTTTTTTGTTTTTCCTTTATTGGGGTTTTCAAATGTTCTTTTATTTCAAGTTTCACATTGGGCCTCAACATGTAGAGGCAGGCACGTCTTCCTTTTCTCTTATAGAGTGGCCGTACTATACAGTCACAACATGCGCAGGAGATAGTTGAATGGCTGAAGAAGCTATCTCTTCTTCCTCCTCCCAGGCACAGATCAGGCAGTTAACTGCAGCCGCTGCTAGTGCACCCTCTTCTTCCTTCCCTTCTACTTCCTCCACCTCCTTAGCTAATCCAGCTATAGCTCTGCAATTTGGCAATGGGGAGTAACCAGAATTATTACATCACTCGAACACTGACTTGCTGCAGGATGTTGATCTTGGTCATGTGCAAACATTCCTCCTTTCAGATACTGAGGATGAGAAAGATAGCACCATGGCTATGGAAGGGGGTGGGGGAAGGGGCATCAGGCTGGGGGCAGCAAGAGGCAGTGATGTTTCAGCAGCTGGCGCTTACTGCAAAGTGGGTTCCAGCGATGAGGTGGGGGTGGATAATGAGGTGCCAGACCGTCCATGGGTGCCAACAGTTGGAGAGCAGGAAAGTGCTGAGGGAGAGGCAGAAAAGCAGTGAGAGAGAAATGTATTTAGGGGCAGTTTGCAGTGAACTGGTGGAAGGAGCAGCTGTCCTAATTCATCTGGCAGCAATACCGCCAAGGTACAGGTCATGTCTATCTTCAGGGATGGTCCACAGAGCTTTGCAGCGTGGGCTTTTTTTTATGTATCTGCTGCCGGCAGCATAATTGTGTTCTGCAGCATCTGCCTGCGGTGTATCAGCCATGGTAAAAATACCAGTCATTTGGATACCACATACATGAAGAAACACATTATTATGCAGCAGTAGGAGCAGCACCTCAGTGTAAATAGTCAGCAGCAAACAGCCCATTTTCCTCCTCATCCTTTACTTTCCGCATCGCCTCCCCCTCCACATAGAACATAGAACAGATGCTCTATGATTAAGTGCAAGTATGTGTCAAATATGTTAGTGATTATATCTGAGACATATGCTGTATGCCGATTGATGAATTAAAGATTACACAGCAATCTTCAATACATGTAGGAGTGCCACGAGTCCTTTGTGGTAACAGAAATCAATGTTTCTTGCAAATCTTGCAAATGTTACGCGTGTGGTTTGTGCAAATTCTTAATGAGTTAACATAAAAATGATTTAAGGAGTTTTTACGTGACAACTGAACTGTCTTTAAAAGCTTGTATCTAGACATGCAAATTTTGTTTCGTTCTGAATGGATATTCGTACAAATTTCGTTAAATTCTGACATTTGGATGAATCCAAATTTGAACAAGTCCGAATGTGAATGAATCTGAATGGTCCTTTAATGACAACTGTCCTGAATTTTGTTCAAGACGAAACTAAATTTGACATGTTGCTGTTCTCTGGCCTATTAGATGTGTCTTTTAGGCTGTTGGGGGTTGCACTACATGCACGGTCATTTGACTTAGTTCCAAAAACAAAAATCGAACAGATTTGAAATCCGAACAACGAAACAAATCAAATTTCGGATGTGAAATTAAAAAAAACGAAAGCAATAAAAATCCACAATTGAAACGAAACAATATTTTTGCATAGTCACATGTCTCCTTGCGTACCTGTGAAAATGCTAAGCTATGGCAACCAAATGCAAGACCTCCGTGGGTCAAGATAACATCCTTTCCTAATCTCTACTATATTCTATTTAATCTTTATGTTTACTTTGTAACTCTTCTCAATAAGCTTTCAAAACCATTCATCGTGAGCAGAGGTTGTTTTTGCTTATTATGGCCAAGTTATAAAAGCAGAACAAAGCAGGTACAAAATAGGCATGCTAGCAATAAGACACCTATACGAAGGTGCCTTGCCACATGTGTATGAAGGATCAGAAGTGTAATGAAAGAGAAGACCAATTATGTGAGTGATATTTCTCAGGCTGCACACCAGTTATTCCTACCCTTCAACTTGAAGTATACCTATGGTTAGTCCAGTTCAACAATCTGAAAGAACTTTTGGTTAGGGTGTTCCAGATGAAAGGGGATTGAGGGATGTGCATTCAATTTTATGAGCCCTTGGCCATACTAATGAAATTAAATTGAAATAAAAATGTGGGTTGATACTGGTAAGTTAAAGAGAATGTTGGTGTAATCCTCTTGTCCTGGATTACACCAACACCATCGGAAAAGCGACAACTGACACAGAGAACATCTACCCATCGCAACAGGCAAAACCGTCAGTTGCAGCCATTTTTCCTGTCCATTGACACAACACCTCCCTTGGTTGTAGCGCTTCTTCCTCTGTTTTCTTTGTCCTTACACACCACTTGTCGGACACCCGGGTCCGCTTATACTAGAAGCTGCACACCTGCTTACCTTTCAGTTCCATGACCACCTGTCCTCCCCTCCCCCCCCTTTTTGGTGAGTGCCGTAACATTGGATTTTGTTTTTCAACTTTTCACCTGTACAAAAGAAAACATCAAAACCTCCACTAGCTGATTTATTTATATTCGATTTATTGGTACTACCGGAATGACCTAATGTTAGATAGTTAATAAAATCTCTATATATGTATGTTATATTATCTATACACAACATGAAGAATGCTTTTCATGCTGCTTGTACTGTGAATTTAGTTACAGATAAAAAGTTCCTTCCTCTTTTCTAGGTACCGCTCAACACCCACTGTTACTGCTCAGCTGTATTCACAAGCATGACTGCACGAGAAATTGTTCTCCCATCATATATGATAAAACTGACACGTTTCTACTTCAGAAACCTTTTTTTTTTACACTTAAGACAAATCTTTGCAAAACTCTTGCAGTGATTGAAAGAACACGAGTCATCAAGCTTCACTTAACACATAGCATACACTAGTTAGTTTGCCCAAATCAGTGCTCTCAGGATGGACCAAGCTCTCTTTTTTTTTTTTTCATATTAAATGTTTATTAAAGATTTTCAAAATATAACAAAAAACACACATACAAACCAAGCTCTCTTTTGAGCTTCAGTATTTGGAAGGTCATGCCACATTTGACCTGAGCATTGATTGCATTCAGGTTGAATCTAATAGTTTCAGGGAACAGTGAGATTGGTGTTTTGGCTATGTGGCCCTGCTTATGCGCCTCTCTTCCTGCAGTTTTGACCAAAGTCTCCCCTAACTGCATCTGCTAAAAAAAAATTCCAGATTGATTAGGACCATGGTCTTTAAAGGAAAGGCAATGATAATCTCTAGACATGCTATTCAGATGTCTCTGAGCTGCTATATGTTACTCAACATTCAGGGATGCTCTCCACTTTTCCCATTGTTGGCCAACACTTATGCAACTGAATGTCCAGGACTGTGAGTTGTGTTTCTGTCTTTCACCCTTATAGTGCCAATATATTTATCTCATACGCTACCTAGATTTTTATTGTAATATAACATTTTATATTTTAAAGATGAATATTTACATAGTTACATAGTATTTGAGGTTGAATAAAGACACATGTCCAACCTATTGTGTGTGTGTGTGTAAAGATCCGCGAGTCCTCTCGTTATGAAATTAAAAGTATATGTTTCTAACTCTGTTTGGAAAATATTTCAGTTAGTGAAATTATACTGCATCATGGACTGCATCAGGGACAACAGTGCTTAAGTATACTGTTTCAGCTAGACATGTACTCTGGCAAAAAATTTGGATCAGTTCGTTTTCGGATTTTTCGTTATTTTTTTTCGGGATTTGAGTCAGAAAGTCAATTCGGTTCCGGAATCGGATGAATTGGAAATTTTCGTTACTTTCGAATGAGTTAGATAATATTTACGAACTAATGTTCGTTGCAGCAAAGTGACATTAGAAAAAAAAATTATTATTTCTTTTTAACAGTCCACAGAAACAATATAAAAAAGTGTGTGCCCCACCCCAATTAATATCAAACCCTTTAGGTGGGAATAGGTGGGACCCCAACGCCAAAAAA